CTGATGTTCTAACCACTTAGTACACCACCCAGGCAGTTCTAAGCCAATTCTTATTTCTTTCCTAGTTGGTTCCTAAAATGTACTGTTTTAGGCTTTGTTCTGAGGTTTTACCTTTGTTTAAATGAAGTAGTAGTGCTGAAGTCATGCTGATATTTTTTAAAGCAAGAAAACAGAAAGAAATGAGGGCCAGTCGTGTATACTTTCCCTAGACCCTGGTGTTTCATGAAATTTCTGGATCTTGCATTTAAAATGTAGCTTTTGGCCTCCTGTTCTGTGCAACCTCCACAATAGTGAGTGCACTCTAGCAACCAAATGCCAATACTGATGTTGTATTTGGGTCTAAACATTGAGAAACAGACAATGGCAGCACAGAAACCAGAATATATCTCAAAATTCTTACACACTGTACACAGAGCAAAATAATCGTGTAATTATTAAAAATGCAGTTTAATTGGACATTGGTGTTTGTTTGTTTTTTTAACACCTTTACTTGCCTCAAAAAACCTCATTAATTCTTTGCTAGATCTTTAACCATAATTTCAATTTTCAAATTTATGTACTTCATTTGTATGTCCTCTCTAAAATCACCATAAAGATCTATGTGTAATAAATTTTATCAGGCTTTTAAAAAACACTAACCACATTTCAACATTTTAAAGTAAAGCTAAAAATGAAACACTACTTTGAACACAGGTATCTGTTTTCCAACAACTAATTAAAAGAAGCAGGTTCAGATCAAACTGAAAACATTATTAACCATCAACTGAACCACTGGAAAGATACATGCAAAAGTAAGAATGTCCCACTGTATTAGCATTAACCAGAGGAATGGCTTTGGACATCTCTTATTCACACTAAGGTCTAAATGCATACAATTAAAGCCACCAACCACATCACCTGTCCATACTAATCACTCACCAATTTAATTAAGGGAAGCCATCTTATCAGAAAACTTACCCCTTCTCTATTTCTTAACATTATCAACTTTTAATAGTTCACTGAATCAGTAATTACTTGTTTATGGCATTATCAACTGTCCTAGATACAAAACTCCAGGGTGTGGCAAGGTCAGTTATAGACATGTCCTGATGGCAAATGAAGGGAGGAATTTAACCCATCAAAGTGGTCATCGAAAGCGCAAAATCTATTAGGCCCTTCTCCAGACATTCCTGGTTAAATTCAAAGTGACAGGACAAACCAGATCAAAAATAAACACAGCTCGACGCAACATACAAAACCCTAATGAACCCTTAGAAATCCAGGTATCGATCTGTCAATATCTAAGCTCAATTAGACCTTTCAGAACAAAATACCTCAGGAGGTGACAAGAAACTAGTTTGAAGTCTCGGCTATGAGAAGGGTAAAACCAGTCACTTTCCACAGATTACTGCTAAGTAAGTCATATCTCTATATGGAAATCTTGTGAGAATTAAATAAAGATGTCAAGTACCTATCTAATTAGTCCAGAAGCGGGAACATAAGTAGTGTCCAGTAAACATTAGCCCTTCCTCAATTCTTTAAGAACTCAGGCTTATCAAGTCAAAGACCAACTGATGGTTTAAAAAGCCATTTACAACCTTCTCATTTTGTCAAATTGTCTTCCGGGATGAGCTTTGACAAGAAATAGGCCAAATGCAAACTAACTCCATTTAGGAGTCACTGCACTGCTTGCAGCAGGTGAACGGTTTCCCTGATAAAAGCTTCACCACTGGGTGTACTTCAAGCTTCCAGCAATTTGGATTCCCAAACAAAGCAGTCACATGACTATAAAGCTAATTTTTTCATTAGAATTGTTAAGAAACAGGAGTTCAATAAATCATTTACCTTTTAAGGAAAAGACATTACTTTCTAACACACATAATATTTCTTCCAGTCCTAAGAAAATGAAGCTTATTTATTCACACACTGAAAACTGTAATACTATAGTGAAGTCTTTTTATGGCTCATGGATGAAATATTTTAGAAATAAAGGTATGGAAAGAACAGGACTTGGTCTAAGAAGTCTTGAGATCAAGTCCTAGAGTTGCCATATACTATATAACTTTCAGAAGTCACTTAACTTTTCAGGGAATCAGTTTCTTTTCAGCTCAAAAATGATATAATTACTTATGATATCTGATACTCTTCAGATATATATGTATGTACCTTTATTAAATAATGCAGACATATTTTTAAAGTTGTAGTAGCTTAAGGCCCATTATGAAACAAAGAGAGTGTGTGTGTGTTGGGGGTTCTGACCCCAAACATTATTCACAGTGGTTAGGGCATTTACACAGCCTCGTGACACCTGAATTAACCAAGTAAGCCTTTAAATCCCTACAATGAAACATTAAAATTCAATGTGGCTATAATCTCTTCCTTACAAAACATGGACCCAAAGAGTCTGGCTTCAAGTATGTTTTTTTTTTAAAAAAGGGGGTGAAATGTATTATATTCACCACCCAGCTTTTCCATATGATCACATTAAAAAAACGCAAATGAAAACTCACAAACCCATTGTAATACATTGTACCACTTCTGAATGCAACACTTAGCTCAGGCTTACTACCCTGACAAATAAAGGAAAGCACTTTATGAAGCCAATTTAATTGGGAGGTGACAGAAAACATACAGCCATTTTCTTTAGCCTTATCATCGAATTGGCTTCAGCTCCAATCTCTGGCAAATCCCACTCAACAGAAGAAATTAACCAGGTCAGCAGAACAGGTGCTACGTTGTGTCTGTCAAGGGCCTGGCATCACCACAATTACTTGCACACAATGAAGCAGTAATCTTTACAGATCATCTCTCCCAAGAAGCATATTGGGGAGGGGGAGGAAAACTGAAGGGAGGGGGCGGGAAGTGGGAAGGAGAGAAATAGGAGGCGAAGAGAAAAGGCAAGAAAAGAAAATGAATGTGCAGCTGCCTTGCGGCTCAGCAGATGTCGGGATGTGATGTACGAGGCTAGGATAAGCTGTCGTAGCCTGCTGCCAAACCGTGGTAAGTGATTAAAGCCTGCACAGTTCTAAGCACCATATTTAGAATCTGCGGGGTTTCAAGACTTGCACCCATTCCTTGCTGTGCTGCCAGATGTTGGCAACTGGTCCAGCTCCTACTGACTGCGCGTGGATGGCAGCAGTTGGTACAGCAGCAAAGCAATCTGGAATGCTTCCGGAGATGCTGTACATTAACAAGTGTCACCCATCGTTCACCTTTACAGAAGGCTGAAACAACTCCAATTTGCTGCCACTTCCCTCTTGGGAAACAGCCAAGATAAAGTTGCGCGTGGCAGTCCCATTTGTTTCACTCAGGTGTTTCAGCTGCCTTGCTGACCTCTATTAGTTTAAGTTTTAATTTAGATTAACCCCAGCACCCCAATTAACCAGCAAGGGGAAAAGCTAAGATGTGACTAGTCATAACTCTGAAATCAGAATTTACTGAAGTTAAAATTATTAATTGGGATGAAGGGCCAATCAAGTAATGCTATTTCTTTTTAAACAGACCTCCAGGCCAAAAAAAAATCTCTCAGACTAAGGATCGCCCGTGGAAGCAACTTCTCCCCAGTAATTTCAGTTTATTTTACTAAGCCTATTTAACTTATGATACACTTTCCAATGAATAATGTACACTTCAATTAATGAAGACCAGAATATTTTTTATTGTTTTCCATGCTCTCACACAATTATGCGCCATTAATATCCTATATCAGGTATTTCCTTAGACATTCTAGAACAAAATAGAGTTCCCTACTCTTCTGACAAATGGATATAATAAGAGAATAAAAGGAAAAAAGAATCAGGACCTCTGACTAGGAACACCTGAGACTCCACCAATCCTCTTTCCTCTCATTACTTTTAAGACTCATTATGGTTAATAATTTTACTGAACATCATAGAGTGTACAGAAAGATTAACAGAAAGTTTCTGTCTCTTTTTAGGGCAAAAAAACAGAGGTATCTGCAATAAAGAATTACCTGTTCTACTGGGGTCACAGTGTGATTTTCCTACGTTCCTTCCTTCACATTCCGTGTACATAATACAGTCGTCGTGGCTAAACCTTCAGCAAGCAGTTGCAAAATCTTTGGTAAAAGCCAACACACTAAAAATTATCTTGATAAATAATGGTTCAGCAAAAACTGGTATATCACTGCTGAGCAACCTCCTCGATTCTCCAGAGCAGAAAGGGTACATCTTAAAGCACATTTCATTAAGAAGTATGACTTCTCAAGAGCCCCAGGATCACAGGAAACAGTTCTTTAGCACAGCTCAAATGTTTGTCTACCTTAGCATTCACCAGCGTCGCTAAAAAGAGCAGCATGCCAAGAGATGATAACGCCAGGGAAAGAATTGGGGGATGTTTGTGAAGAGACAGTACTGAGAACAGAACCACATTTCAACTTCTACCAATTCTTTCTGTCTTCAAAGCACTACAATATTATTATAATCAACAGTGGCAATCCCAGTATGTACTTAACTGATGTGAACAGGCACAAAAATAAAGACAAGAGACTTAATAGGTAGTAGAACCAGATGTGCAATTTAAGAATTCTGGGATCCCAGCCCTTTCACTCCATATCCTGATATAATAGTAATGGACAAAAAAAAATAACTAAAAAAATCCTCCATTAATATTATCAAAAAAGGCTAAGGAAGAATAATCAACCTGACTCAAAGAAGTTGANCAAATAACTAACAAAAAATCCTCCATTAATATTATCAAAAAAGGCTAAGGAAGAATAATCAACCTGACTCAAAGAAGTTGAAACTATTTTACAGATAATTTACACTCTGCAACAACTAACACAGTAGCTGTAGCTATTTTCATTTCTAAAAGAAAAATATAAGACAGAAGAAAAGCAACAGATCCAGAACTACACAGTAAGTCAATTCTGAACACAGGCGTTTTAACTCCCTGTGTGACTCTATCCCAAAGTGAGCTACCTTTGGTCAGAGAAGTCGATCAGCTGTTTTAAAATGCTAAAACCTGATTTGTAACGAAAGAAAAGAGTGTAAAAATCATACCTGGTGGTAAAAGTCATCATCATCAAAGATTTCTTCATCCAAGTCCTTCAGGTGGGCATTGGCAGGGGCTTCAGGAAGGACCTCCTATATCAATCAGGGAAGAGTGAATACCATTGAGGTTATCAAAATAATGCAGCTACTATAAACTGTGTGTAACAGTCAAAGCACTGTTTTCCTTAAGATATAAAGAGCTTGTAAAATTAAAAAGCAAAAACATTAATAGGTACTTGACAATAAGAACCACAAATAGTCAAAAATCATTTGAAAATATGTTTAACCTCATTCTAATGAAATACATGCAAATTAAAATGAGAAGGCACCATTTTGCACCTCTAAAACTGGCAACACTCAGTACTGGAAAACACAGCTGGTGGGACTGGAAATGAATGCAGACTTTTTGGAGGCAATTTGGCAACATTCATCTGATTTAAAGTACATATTCTCTTTGATTTAACATTTCCACTTCAAGAAACCTATCCATATGCTCACACAAACACAAAACTACAATACAAATGCTCAGGAGTGTTTCCTGTAGCACTGTTTCTAAAACTGGAGACAACAAAAATATCCATTGTTTGAATAAATTATAGTAAAAATCTGTACAATAGAATACTCTAGCCATTAGGAAAAATGAGGTAGATCTCTAAATAATGATATGGAAAAATGTCTGGGATATATTAAATTTAAAAAGTTGTAAGATTTTATATACACTTTGTAACATTTTATTTATTTATATACACATATATCCATACCGTTTAGTTTAAAAGAAAAGGCAACCATATTTTCTGTGTGTTGTGTGCATGGAAAATAACCCAAAAGCTTGTTACAATTATGAACTTTGGTTAAATCTGAAGAGTAAAATTTTCAGACTGGGGGAATTTTACTTTTCATTTAAAATTCTTCTGAACTTATGAAAAGTATTACATATATATTTCTACCATAACTAAAAGAGTTTCCTTTAAAAAAAAGAATCTGTTCCAATTTTGGATCCTTTTCTGGATCCAAACATCCAGCATAAAGCCTAAAGAACACACTTGCTTCAATACTGACATTTGTAAAGAGGTTGCTCTCAAACTGAATTTTAAAGACTAGATTATGAAGGCTTCCATTACCAGAATCATAATAATTTCAAAATTAAAAGACTACACATAAGTTAATAATAGCGCATTAAAAAAACCATTTTAAAAAAATATATTTTCAGTTTCTCAACAATCTAGTAGTGTTTTTTCCCTTTCTTTCACTAATTTCTCATACCAAGAGTAATATCTATAAGTAGGTAATCAGATTTTTCAGTTAATTAGCCTCACAGAAACTGCTCCCATAATCACTGTGCATCACAGAGTTCTTACCGGCTGTCCTGGCAAACTCTCTGGGACAGGCTGCGCTGCTGGCTCGGGCTTGCCAAGAACTTTGTAGACAGAGCGCTTGGTCTGTGTCCTTCGAAGTAATCTTTCTTTGTCCATTAGAATATGATCGATCTGAGTCAAGATTGAGCGTTCAAAGGCACCAAAACCCTGCAACAACATTAACCAGTGTCACATAATGCAGAAAGTCTGTGCTGAAGGCAGCTACATTGCTTTCTCTATCTTTCTGTGTCAGCAGAGAAATAGACAACCGTTCTTTCAGAAGAGACTTTCTGTTAAAGACTGAGTTTGTGAATGGCTGTAATTGTTCTCAGAAAAAAAAAATTAGTCTTGAGTAGGTCATATTACTTTCCTATACAAAGAGTCTAACTTCTGCTCCTTTAATACTAATTGTTCATTAACTTCTTTATTTTGTATTTCCAACACTTGAAACTTCCAAGGCCACAATTTCTAGAATAAAATCGTCTTTCTAATCAAGTTAAAATCACAAGTCTGAATGGTATAAACCCCAATGGTAGGAGTTCAGTACATTTTTCTATGGAAATGACTAATTACCATAGTGACATCATCCATAGAAATGAGCTGTAGTTCTAATTTCTTACAACTGCTTCAGGTTGCCACAACCTGTGTTACTCACACATGTGTGCGCGCGCGCGCACACACACACACACACACACACACACACACACACACACACACACACACACACACACTTGCCTTCCCCAGCTTTCCGGAAGCCAGCTTGGTTTTATCGTGCCACTTCTGAAGCGTGCGGTTCCTGTAGACTGTGAAGTCAGCAAAGCGTTTTGCCATGAAGCCAGGATAGTCGCCCATCTCCAGCTTCCTCTTTGGTGGGGCCCTTCTCTGTGTCTTCTTCTCTTCTACTAGCTCTTCATCTTCACTGGAAATCTCCTCACTAGAAAAACCAGTAAGAACAGTGAGCCCAATATAAATCAACATTTCCCACATAAAAAGCTAGACTCGTATGAAGCTGAGGGTATTTAGGCCTTGCCTACTGTGCCTACATTTTAAATAGCACCACGGATGTGAGGATGGCTTTTTGTTTGTTTGAAAAGAATGTTCATGAGGTCAATCAAAAACTCATGTAACTTTTCAAATAAATATAAAAATAACTGATTTCAAAATATTTCTTGAAAAGGTAAGCAAATCATAAAATTACATGAGATTATAAAAACATTAGAAATGCATATGAACCAGGCCTATACTGGTTATAAGAGGGTCTTTAAAAATTAAACACATAATCATACTTTTATGACCTTAATCCCCAAATCAATAAGAAAAAATGTCTCCCTGTAACCAATTGTTTAGAAAAGCTGAATAATAATTAGTTGAACCAAATGAAAAGAAGCTGAGTGTGAAGAAAACTCAAAGGGGTAGGGAACAGAACCAACATTAAACAGCAATATTATATGCAACTGCCATGAGAAAGTAATACAACCTCCAATTACATAGCCAATTGTACTCGCTAGATTACAGACCCCAACACACAGTAGGTGCTCAATAAATGTGAGTTTATCCCTCCAACCAAGTCAGTAGAAAAGAATGGAATGAGAATAAGCCCAGGGGAAAACAGTAAGTAGGTCCCACACACAGCAGGCCCAGACAAAGGGGCAGGAGATGCTTCACCAAATGTGACAGTGTAAGTAAAGAAAAAGGTTTATTTTACCGTTTTCTGAAATTGTCCACCCTTCAAAATAACTGTTTCTTCCCTCACTGAAAAGAATACAGTCGTGACCAGCAATTCCATGATATGGACACAAAGTGCTTCAAAAACATTAATTAAGCACTGATATTAAAATGTGTTTTCATCTACTAATTTCAACAGCTCTCAAGAGAAGGCAAGTCTTTTGCTGAAGTCACAAAGAGAATTAGGCACAACTAAGTATAAAAATCCAAAACCTAATTCCCAATTTTTGTGCCATCCTAGCCAAAAGAACCAATTAAATGTAAGTGGCTCTTTCTATTTTACTAACATTAAGTCTGATATCTGCCTGGAAAGGATTCAGCTTTCTTTTTCAGAAAAGATGGGAAACTATTCAGATGAAAGAAAATAAGCAACTCCACAGCTGCATTCCCTCCTTACCTTTCTGCTTTGGGCTTTGTTCCATCTACTAGGTGTCTAGTGTCTGGGTACTGGAAGAGCAGCTCTTCTTGAAGATCTACCAATGACCTCAACAATGCTTTAAGCGCCTTGTGACCTGGGAAATAAAGCACAGAGAAAGAACAATTATAAAGGCTCCTGAGCAGCTCTGGCTGGGGGTGCCGGCACAGGGTACACAGGGACTAAGAACTCTGAAGGACAGAATTCATGAAAGGAAACAGCAACAATGCCTACCTCAGTGGGTTGCTGTGAGGAACAAGCTAGGTAATGTGTAAGGTGCTTAGAAAAGTTTCTCCAATAAACCGTGAGTTCTTAAATTTAGTAAGACTGACAAATTCCTTCCCTGCCTGTCATCACAACCTATCTTTTTTTCCTGTGGTGTTACTTTCTACACGTTACCCCCTGATGTCCTGGATTATCCCTTATTCACTCAACCCCTTAAGCAAGTCCTCCTCTTTTCCTAAAGAGCACAGTTTAGCCCCAGGATCTCTACCACCTTCACCAGCCTCCTTTAGATCTCATTTGCCTCTGGTTTCAGCTGCCACATCATTCATTCAATCTCTCCACACACATCCTTATGGAAAATTCTTGTTCATGTACGAAAAACCCAAATTAATGACTTACTGTTTGCAGTACTGAATTGTGTATTAAAAATTTGCACATCAAAAATATGTTCTCATCTGGCCCTCCTCATAGCCAACAGGATGCATTTGTAATAAAGCTGATCAGGATTAAGTATACAGTCTATGGCTAAGAGCCTTCGGAATAAAAACTGGCCCACTAAGAACTGACCTCTTACCTTCTTTATCAGCCTAGTCCTACTAAAGGAGCTAATGACACTGGTCATCACTGTTTATGTGTTGATAGCTCTGACATCTCTCCTATGCTCAAACTTTCACATTTCCAAAAAAACCTTCACGTGGCTGCTCCATCACTCCTTCATGTATACCACGTCAGAAACAGAACTTTTCCCTTCCTACCTAATACTTCTCCCTTGTCTGGTTTTTCTCTTCTCTGTTTAATGTGCTAAACTGTATATTTTTCACATAGTTATTCATTTATCTCTGGCCACGCTTCTATCACTCCTTACTTCTTTCCCTTAAATAACTGCAATCTTCTCACAAGCATCCCGGCTTTCGTTTAGCAATCCCCGCATTCATTTTTGTTTTATAACCCACACTAATTTCAGCTTAAGTGATTTTTAAAGCTTAAAATCAGTCAGTCTAAATGTGCTAAGTGTATAAGTAGAACACAAATTATGTAAATATATGGGAAATTTTAAAAGGAATGAGTAGAACAAAGAATACAAATGATAACTACAAATATTAGGTTACCACAAATGGTCATCTGTGAAAAGACCTGAGAATTGATAAGATATCCCAAGTAGCAAAGGTTCTGAAAGTATATATTATAGCAAGAACCTTAAGAAAATAGAAGAGATGCTAATACTTGGAAGGAAGCCCATGAAAATGTAGAACTCTCATCTCATCCAAATTCTATGTATTAACCACTATTTTTAACTTCTTTTCTAGAAATGGCTGTATCTTAAGAGACAGGACCCATGTTTTCCAAAGTGAAACCACAAATCAATTTTGCATTTGCAAAGTAGTTTTCAAAATTCCCAAGACCTAACCTTGAAAATATTATGCTAAGTGAAGTTCAAAAGGGCATATACTATAGGATTCCACTTACATGAGGTACCTAAAATAGTCACAATCATAGAGATAGGAAGTCGAATGGTGGTTGCCAGGGGCTGAAGGGAGGGGGACTGGGGGCTTACTGTTTAAAGGATACAGTTTCAGTTTGGACCATGAGAGAAGTTCTGGAGATGGGTGACGGTGACGGTTGGGTAACAGTGTGAATGTACTTACTGATACTGAGTTGTGTACTTCAAAATGGTTAAAATGGTAAATTTCATGTCATGTAGATTTTACAATTTAAAAAAATACTTTAAAAAATCCCAAGACCAGAGTATAATAAATAATTCTACCATCCAAGTTCATTTCTATTTAGACAAAATAATCTATAATCCCTCAAATTTGAGAGCCTAGTCAAAAAGAATGGGGGGGGGGATATTATTCAGCCTTTAAAAAGAAGGAAATTCTAATACATGTTGCAATATGGATAAACCTTGAGGACACTATGCTAAATGAAATTAAGTCACAAAAAGACAAATACTGTATCATTCCACTTATATGAGGTACCTAGAGTAGTCAAGTTCAGAGAAACAGAAAGTTGAAAGGCGGTTGCCAGGGGTTGGGGCACAGGGAAATGCAGAGTTGTTGTTTAATGAATTATATACATTTTCAGCTATGCAAGATTAAAAGGTTCTGGAGATTGGTTGCACAAGAATGTGAATATACTTAACACTATTGAATTGTAAACTTAGAAACGGTTAGTAAGGTAAATTTTATTATGCATTTTTCACCACAATAAAAATTAAAAAGAACAGAAAATGTAAGTGCCTGTCCCTTACTTCAGCAAGATACCATGTGTCATGATCTAAAATATGAAATCAAGAACCATGCAGGGAAGCTGCAAAGCAGTCCATAATGTTTATAGCTGTTTGCCCCCAACAAGCAAGTCATAATTTGACTCTAACATGTAGCATAACTAAGAATTGTGAAAACATCCGACGGAAGACTACTACTTTTAAGGGCCACTCTCAAATAGCTATACAAGCCCTTTTATTTTGTTCAAGTCAGTTTTAAAAAATCCATTGCAGATATATTAGACAGCCTATCAATCCAACAAGAAAGCAGAGAGCCAATATCAGTAAATCAAAGTGTGCCTTTCTGTTAATACTCTCTCATATGTTCTCATTTTATACACCCCTTCACCCAGTCAGAAAGTAGCCCTGAAGTATTTAAGCTCCATTCAGGGATAGCACCACCATGCATCAAAGTGTCAAGAGACCTACCAGAGATGAAATCTGCAATTCTGTGCTTCTAACCACCAAAAAAAANATGACAGAAAACTTCCCTAACCTGGTGAAGGAAAAAGTCACACAGGTTCAGGAACCGCAGAGATTCTCAATCAAGATGAACCCAAAGAGATCCACACTAAGACACATGATAATTAAAATGGTCAACATGAAAGACAAAGAGAGAATCTTAAGGGCAGATAGAGAGCGACAGACAGCGACCTACAAGGCTGTCAGCAGATTTCTCAACAGAAACACTGCAGGCCAGAAGGGAATGGCGTGAATATTCAAAGTAATGAAAAGCAAGAAGCTGTATCAAGACTGCCCCATCCAGCAAGGCTATCATTCAAAAGTAAAGGTAAAATAAAGAGCTTCCCAGACCAAAAAAAAAAAAAAAAAGTTTATCAAAGTAAAGTCACTAGTGGCCAACACATGGACAACAGACAACTTCCTGTAAAGAGATTTAAAAGAACCCAATTCTTGTTTCTTTGCACTATTAGAGCCACATTTCCTTCCCCTAATAAGATTTTATGTAAAACCTGAGGAGACAATGAGCGATCTTTTGCTGGACATGGTAGGCCTCCTCAAAGCCACAGCTGACAAGATTGAGGGGAGACCCTCTCCTGGTGGCTCAAAGCCAACAATGAATTCATCCCAGCCAAAAACCAAACCGAAATCAAACAAACCCTCTTTATCATTCATGTAGGGCTGAATTCTATTTGTCCAGCCCTATGAATAATAAAGAGAATGGAATCAACAGTTTCTAATTCACCCCCAATTTTTCACCCAATTACTGTTAGGGTTAAAAGTTTTAAAAAGCAGCAGATGTGCATATACTTTCTTCTCTCTCCCTCTTGGAACATGGTCAAAACAAACACACAAACAAACAAAAAAATGGAGACTGTCAAGGATATATGTTTATTTTGTCCTACACGGTGCATTTCCAGAGGCCTTTCCCTTAAAAGGAGATTAAGAAAGACATATGCCTCACATGTTACCAAGATTCAACCTAAAAGTCTAGGCACCAGCTTTAGGAACAATTTTCCAAGTTGAGAATAAATGGAAAGAGTACTTTACTCAGGGTCAGGAACCCTGTATTCTAACTGACACTATCACTAACTAGTCATTTTATCTCTTTGAGTTTCAATTTTCTCATCTATAAAATGTAGATAATCCTTTGCCTGTTTATCTCACCGAATGAAGGTGAAAAATAATGTTTTTAATATATTAAGGTGTTTTACAAATTTTAAAATGCTATAGAAGTGGAAAGAATATTACCATAAAAAGGCATCATTTTCACATGGCGAAAATCTTAAGCTCTGCTTGTACTGATCTACAGCACTAGGGCTGAACTAGTACTCAGAGCCCTATATTAAGTATTCATTTACATGCTACCCATATGCAAACATTCTATATAGAAAATGTCACCAATCTAAAAACCATTTTCACCTAACAGCTTTATTTTTTTCCCTGATTCATCTAGGCTGTCCAACAAAAACAAAATTGTAGGCAGAGAATAAGTTTGGACATGGGCGTACAGTTCATTAATTAGATTATAAACCAATATGTAAAACTTCTGGAAAGGGGATGGGGGGGCAACAGGAAGAGTGAATGTATAAAGTAAAATAAAGCTTACCTTATCAGTTTTTAAATATCTATCCAGTTATTTTTAGAACAATATGCAAACATACAATTATTTATGTACAAGTATAAATTCCCACATTCCTATTACCCCCAGATAAATATATTGAACTAGAATGTACAGATTACAAGGGCACATTTTTTTTCTCCTTCAAAAGTAACTCTAGAACTAGAGCTAAACTATAGGTCAAAATGACACACAATATATTGGCCTGAGAACAATACTTTTCATTCAAATCCACACAAGCCTGCCACTTGCACTAGTCATCCCCGGCAATTAATCCCCCAAGAAAGACGTTTGATTAAATCTTTTCAAGCAAATCCTTTGCTTTGCTTTTGTTAGTTCACTTCTTGTCAACATCTATTAAAATATGCCTTTAATTCTCCCACAATCTTAAAAAACACCGATTCCACTGTCTTCAACTTTAATCAACTGTATGGCCGGCATTTTTCATTTCATAATAATGTGCTGCTTGGAATTCAAGAGGCAGGCTCAGCATCAATCATCTGGTAAGAATTTTTCCACTGCAATA